AAGTTTAGATAAAGACAATCTAAATACTTCGATTACTTGTAATATAAAATATATAGTAACACTTTTAGCTATTTACACGCGATTAAAACAACGCTTTATAGAACAGTTAGCAGAGTGAATATTGTATTGTTTTAGAAATTTATATACAGCAAAGATATACCGTATAATTTTTTTTTAAATAAATAAATACGATACAGGAACTTTCAGTAATATTTCATATAAGATCGCTACTATATTTTGATTAATTTATGATATAAAATTGTCCAATTCAATACTTTGTCAGTATCTGTATCTTAGTGAAGAAAAGCTTTTATCATAAGAATAGAAAAATAGATATATATATTTTATAATAAGGATAGATTAGGCGTTAGGCCATTAAATTGAACCATCAAATGATTTTACAGGGAAATACGTTACAATATATATTTTTAAGTAACATTTTATGTGTTATAATACGATTTTTATATTATTAAACGTAATACCAATACCAATTTTATATTTAAAACTAATAATACAATATAATTATACCTCCCCTATATTAATTACATTAATAAGTAAGATTATCAAGGATAATTAATGAAATAATATTTTATTTAAGTTAATTTAGTTGTTTCGAAGGCGTGTTATATATTTTTGATCAAAGAAAGTTTTTTTTTTAATAAAAATAACCGTTAGATCATGAAAGAGATAAAATAGCCCTAGTTATTGGATTAAATCTAATATTTGGATGCACTTAATAATCCAAGTGAGTTGCCACATTTTAAACTATCCAATAACTACACTTTATACTGAATTAAATAAAATGGAAATCCACATTTAACAACTACCAACTATAATAGAGAAAAACATTAATTGCCTAATTAAAGTTAATATTTTAAATTAACATTATCTAATATGGTAAATATATTCTTTAATCCGCTAATAATGTTATAATATATATATATATATTTAATAAACAAAGCAAAAAATTCGTTTAGTGCTGAATAATATTGCAGCATCTACAATAATAATAATGACTCAACAGGTTTTTCTTCCTCGTAATAGGATAGTCTTAATATTGGCATATTCATTAAAGCTCGCGATGTCGAAGTACAGATATGTACTGAATTATAAAAAAAAAATACAATGAAGCTCATCTGCTTATAGAGATTCTGTGAGTCATGCTTACACTAAATGACCAAACTATAAGGCCCTTCTTACATTACGATACTTACGGACGATTAGCGTCATACGAGAGGAGAATGTCAGATAAATTTTACTTATAATATTTATCTGACATTCTCCTCCGGAAATATAGGGACTTTATGAAACATTTTGAAAATTAAACTTAATGGCATGGCAATTCTTAAAATAATTTCCTTAAGTCACCAATTCACTACCAACAATTCTTAAAATAATTTCCTTAAGTCACCAATTCACTACCAAGAGGGGTATTACGAAAAGAAACAAACGAACATTCGAGTCTTTACCGAATTTCTTATAATCGCTCTCTTTTCGAAACAATGCCTTAAATGTTAATAGATATGGCTAAGAAGGTTTTAACACAAATCCGAAATATATTTAAATTCACAGGGTCAGATCAACAATTTCTTTTGTTTTAATTTCATCTTAAATGCTTTTAAACCATATACACAGCGATTTCTTCGTCATCACTATCACGGCGGAATAGCGTGCACTTTAAATAAAAATGTTGAAAATTTTCATAGTTTCAGCTACCTAATGTACATTGCAATATTTTCGAAATTAAACCAAAAACTGGTATATCACTTGCTTAGCCGACTGTACGAACGTCTAGAGCGAAGTATTCTATAAATACGCAACGGAATTATCATATATTATGAATACCGTAATGTAAGAAGGGGTTAAGTCTTAAAACATATCGATATCGCAACAGTCGATAAAGCTGTGACGAGCGATTTTAGTTTCATAGAATCTTGATCTTTATCTACATCGTAACACCTAGAATAGTTAAAAAGGGTTATCTTTGGTCAAACCGACGATAATTTTCAGTCATACCGGATTTCAGTAATGGATATATGTTTAAGATGCTTTCAAACTAAAGCCTCTTACCGTCTTTATGCCGGCTGTTGCTATTTCGGTATATTTTGAGCCTACATTTTACATAGCATTTCCTATTCCAATACTAAATTTTTTTCTTCATAATTATCACAAAATGTCTTTACAAGTTTATTTACGGAATCACTTTTGATCGTAAAAGTATCACAATATGTAGACCTCATCTCAACAATTCGTTAACCCTCTGTCGATCTTCTGATTTTTTATTTTATTTTAATAAGTCAACACACGGTATATGAACCAAAGCGAATTATCTACGTTTATTAATTACTTATATTTTATTCTCGTAAGCCATAATCTTTGTGCTTTATAAATAAGTTATGGCGCCACAAGCTTTTAAAGTGTCGACGAACAAAATTACCGTATGTTTCAAAGGGTTAAGAATCATAATGCTTCTTTATTCATATAACTAGATAGTACTTCGTGTTATTGCAAAAATTACGATAGATATTCACTTTTGAGCGATAATGTAATTTTCTAAATATCCTATAACTTATTTTTCAATATTCATTGGTAGGGAGAAGTGTAATAATTATTTTAAATATACCGAAAATTTAAGTTTAGATCACTGTACTTATTAGTGCCTTTACCTTCACTATAAGCAATAATTTAATATCATTCAAAATAAGTAGGTAGTGGAGTATTAAAATTGACCTGTATGTAACATATTAGTAAATATTGAGCTTACTATACGTAGCAGCATATCACGTTGCTAAAATTACGAATTTCCTTAATAGATCTTGGATTTTACTGCAAACGCATTAAGGTTTAAAACAAGTTGAAGTTATATAACTTGATATGCTGTACGGTTACAACTAATTATTTGTTGGTAAATAGTAGATTCACTGAAAGTTCTCATCCGTGACGTTAGTGACGTCACACAATACAATAATTATATACTCAATATTAAACAATACTTTTATAATAATAGTGTTTTGCGTAATCATATTACATTTTTCGATCTGTTCACTGAATTACTTAATTAAAAATCCCTGTCCCTTTAGAGATCATAATATTAAGTAAATCTTATAGAAATCGCTTTACCAAAGACATTATAGTGATTAAATTGAACACAAACTGATAATTCTTCATAATATTATTATGTACGTAATCAAATTATTTTTAAGCAATAAAAATAAAGATTACACAAAACAATAACAGTTAAGTTGAAAGCAAAAATACTTGAAGACGTGTGTAATTTCCTATAGGAGCTTTTCAAAATTATTATAGAAAATTACATTATGATAACCACATAATGCCTATGGTAAAAAAATACTGTAGTCTTCTCATTTCTGATGACGTCATGATCATTACCGTGCCAATTTGTAAATAAGTCAGCAGTTGTATACATACATAGATAAATACTTATTTAGGTTTTCAATTATACGATTACAAACACTAGAAAGTAAAATTTATTATGTAATTCATGTTGTCACATAAGTTATTATTAATGCCCGTTTTCACTAAACTCAAGAGTTGCCTTAATATTTAGGAGTCGCCTAAGATAAAAAATCATGTCACCATTGACTAGGAACCACCTAACGAAATTAATCAATGTCTAAAGTTATGATATTCGTTATGCGGCGCCTGCGCTAGGCATTTGCTTATATGACAGGCAGTGGCGTAAGTACATGGTGGCAAGTCGGCAAATTGGCTTGGCCCACAACTGGAAAGGGACTCAGGTCAAAGGAGTCTCCTTACTCCTGACATTTATTATTACACAATTAGTAAAAAAAAAAAAGAATATCCGATGAATAAGTCACGGGCCTCAAACGGTATAGTTACACCAAGAAAAGAAAAAAATGTTTATTTAGAATTAAACTAATCTGCTTAGGCGATTCGTAAGATTAGGCGTTTCCTTGTTAAGCTACGCCTTGTTCTAGGTTAGTTAAAACGGAGTTAATTCATGTTGATTACACTATGCAATAAACTTTTTTTTCACAGTATGTGATGACGATTAATACAAAATAAAATGTGTAATTTATATATTTACATACGTTACATTTAGTATTAATTGCATTTATTGTTTTTATTATAATTTATATGAAATAATAGCATAGATATTCATTAATTATTAGAAAACTCTTTTTTCAAATATTCGCTTTCTTGTTTCGTGTAGTTAGTAATGAGGAAGTACTAAAAAAGAACATTAGTTCCAAATCAAACTAGATGTCGCCACTGTACATTTTTGATTTCTCCATGACAACCTTTCTGATTTCTTTTCAAGTTTAAAAGTAAATTAGTTTCAAAACTCAATAAACAACTCATATTCTATTTTTTTCCTATTTATATTGATATCTATGTTTCGAACTTTGCAAATTTCGACGCCATCTAGTGGAGGTGCTTTTTTAGTGCTTTCGTTTTTTTTAATACTTCATCATTGCAGTATTCCTCTAGAGACCCCAAGAATAGTCTGCATTTGTGGTTGGTTCTCATCCACCTTGTTTATAAATAAAATTTGTTTGATTTGAAAGACGTGTTCAGGTTTTTTAAATTAAGCAATTTCTTGATGAAAAGTTCTTAATGTTCATCACTTATTAAACCCATTTTTTACGGGAAGAAACAAAATTAGCGTAGAGAAATAGATTTTCAATTACACATTGCATCTAAATTTGTGATAGCATCTAGCATAGATTTTTTTCTCATGGTAATCCAGTGATTTGCGATCGTCGAGGTTTGTGATGTCGACAAAGGCGAATCGTTTTCACCATGGAACTGGGGCTTGAATTTTTTTAAGGGGCCGACCATTAATCACGAAAGTCTCGAAGGGGGGGGGGGGAGGGATTCGACAAAAATCACGAGATATCACAAGAGGGGTGGGGGAGTGTAGTAATATATCACGTGTATTTATTTTTTCCTCGACGCGCGATTATTAAACCGAAAAGCGACGTCAAAAATTAAGATTTTTTGTTTTGTTTCTTTTTAATACACGTAATTTGGTTGAAAGAGGGAGGGGATAGTCTTAAACCTCACCATGTATCACCAAGCGGGAGGGGGTTCATAAAATGTTGAAAAAACATCACGTGATTAATGGACGGCCTCTATTCTAAATCTTTGATAGTTTAGTAGTTGTGGAATTTAGCTCTAATTTACCAGTCGAATGAGTTCTTAAATTATTTAGTCTAGAAATACAGCTCCAGTATAGCAGCTTGCTTCGCTCTCATTTACTATTCGATAACCTCGAAAAATTGGAAAATCTCTTCAAGAGAAATATCTGCAAAATGTAATAAAAATAAGAGGCTTGGAGAGGTTTGATTTTTTTTTTAAACCAGCCTTATTCGAAAACTTCTACTTAACGTACTACCTATGAATATAATAATAATAGACATATTGCACTTAGAATAATACACTTTACAATAAATCAAACAACCCATTGAGAGGAGGGGTAAACAAAAGGCGGCCTTATTACTGAACATTAATCTCTTCCAGGCAAAGAAAATTAAACGACAGAGATTATGTGAAGTAGTGAAGGATAGATAGATAAATGGCGGATACATCTTAAGACAAATATATAGATATAAATATGGAATATTTTTAAAGCTATTCGGCTATAACACTGAGTATTAGTGGTGAAAAATGTTTAAAAAGTAATTTGTCGATCGTCTTTAGAGACGTTATACGTAAATGTGAATTTGTATTTTGTTGTTTATTAAGTACTAGGTGTACAAGAATTACCACTCGGGGTACGGGTGATTTTTTTTCTTATTGCATAGTGTTATCAAATGACACCCATGTCATTCCCATTCAAAACGATATTTTTTATATAATAATACACAAAAATAAATTGTACAGACTTCACATTTTCTTAAAAATGTTTCCATGTTAAAAGTTACACTGTGTAAATTTTATGATTCGAATATAAATTAATTTAAATTAACAATTTACAAAAGGACACGGTATTGATCATTTTAATAATATTTAGGGGCAGGTTCAGTCGTTACCGTCGATTTATGTGACTCCCAACGGTTGCGTCGCCTCTTGCAGTACATATTCGCTGCGCTGAGCGAGCGAAGCCCTAGCTCGGAGCCCCGGGTGCAGTTTATTCCACGAGGTGGGCTTCCATTTGAACTCTGTATATTCGTTCATTTCCTAAAAGTAATTTTTATATTACAATGAAAAATGCTTTAAAAATCCACTTAGTCCTTTGTACTCTGAGATGGGATTCGAACCCCACAACCTTTCGCAATACGAGCAACTGCTCTAACCACTAAGCTACTCAGGACCTAATATGAATGACAAATGTTTCCAGCACTTTTTAATTTTTTAAGTGGATTTTTTAAGTATTTTTAATTAAGAATATTTAATTTAAAATAGGATTAATTATATATTCTAATTAATTATTGAGTATTGTAATTAAAATAGGATTAATTTTAGTATACCTATCAGTTTTTAATTTTATTATTCAGGGCTACTTAAAAACAACAGAAACTGACTGGATAGTTACCATCATAAACTACAATATTTAAGAGATTTAATATAATTTAATACTTTGAAGTTTATTAACTTTTTATAGTAATATGACATTTTAATGTCCGCTTTATTCCTAAACTGCACTCGTATACTGCGTGAAGTACTAAAATTTTGATGTTGTAAGTGTACAATCGAGCAGTAAATTAAATTTATTTTTTTATGAAAATAAAATATAAAGAATTATCATCAAAACTGGTAGAACAAACGGCGGTGCTGGTGTTTTACAAGTTACCCTGTATAAAATATTGAAACCAAAAATTAAGAAATTGAATAATATTAAATTAGGTCTCATAACACCTACTTCAAAAGGTAATAAATTATTATAATTATTTCATTGAACCACTAATTCTATGAATAGTATTTACACAGAATACTTCTGTTATTTTAGTTATTTACAGAATCTAAGGACAGAAACTTTAGTCTTGCAAAATTAAGTTTATTTCATACAATAGGATTGTTACTATCCTGTTGCGCGTGCACCGTGTCCAAATAAGTACAGTATTTACTGTACAGTATGAACTTGTCCTTAGAAATCCTATTAACGGGCAAAGAGAAGCTTAGTGGTTAGAGGATAGGTGACCAAAATTTTATTATTTTCTGCTCTTCTGTGCTTAGGAAGATACATTAAACCATAAGACCCGGCTATTCAATTCGATTCGATTCCATCTATAGCGAAGGCTTGTGTCACGGCAGTGGGGAGGGACAGTAATATAAAAATGTTGAGTGACGTGTGCATTACCTGCACGAACTGTTGCCTGACGTGTGCATTAGGGTGTCCCTTAAATTTCAAGTTCGATTTATTTTAACGCATACCTTCTTAAAACTTTCGTACTAACCCAATATAGTCTAGAAAAAAATATTAGCTCGTTTTACAAATGATAACCCGTGCCGACTTGTGATTTAAACTCGTTCATACAAGTAGCGAGGGTACCGCACTGCGATCTGTTACTACGCGTTTCATTTATCATTTCACTCGTAATTTTAAGATTGTTAGTGCGTTATTATTTAAAGTATAAAGATGTCGGTGAAATTGCGGAGTGATAAACAAAATATTTTCCTTGTCGGACTGCCTAGCCATCAAATAAATGGTGCAAAATTACCATCTAATCGACAAGTTCTCTCTGTCTTATTTTACAATATTCGCGAAGTTAAGCTAACTGTCAGTGAAAGCGCAAATCTTGTGATTAGGGAGTGCATTATATTTTGGGAAAAGGCAAGAATTCCCACAAAGGCATTTAAGAAAACTCAGGTCACTTTTAGGAATCGTGAAAATAATTTTAAAATTGACATTGATAACTTATTTGATATTGCACATGCTGATGCCTTTGAGAGAATGAAGATAGAGGAAGACAAAGTATTTTTAAAGAAACAGAGAGAGCCAGGTCGACCTGGATGCTTAGGCGGTGTAGACAAAAAATTGACGGACAAAGAAGAAAGAGCTAGGCAAAGACGATTGGAAGAAGAGGAAAGGAGTGTTAGACAAAGAGAGTTATTGGCTGTTGCATCTTCTTCTACTACAAATAATTTAGAATGTCTAGAAGATTTGGAAGAAGAACAGATTTGGAATTCTGAATTCAGCTTGCCAAGCGTTCCCTGTCATGACAAAAAATCACAAAGAGGTAGGAAGAATCTTATAACACCTAAACTAGTCGCAGCTTTAGATCGATGCCAGTTAAGCATAAGAGACTCCGTTTACATTCTTCATGCAGTCGTAGAAGCTCTTGGTCTGAGCAGCGATGATTTCCTCATAAACAAATCCTCGATTCAGCGAATCAGAACTCAGACGAGAAAATCCAGGGCAGAAGCAATAAAAACTGACTTTCAGAACAATGTGCCTGACGTGGTCACAATCCATTGGGATGGAAAACTATTACCCGGATTGAATGTACGAAGTTCAAAAGTAGAACGTTTGCCAATTCTTGCTTCATTTGACGATAAAGCTTCTTGCAGTGCCTAAACTAGAGAGTTCTTCTGGAAAACATCAAGCTAAAGCTGTCGCATCTGCTCTTTTTGACTGGAATCTTCATAATAAAATTCAAATAATGTGCTGCGACACAACAGCTTCGAATACTGGCCGTTTCAATGGAGCTTGTGCTGTTTTGGAGCAGACTTTAGAAAGGGAACTGTTGCTTTTCACTTGTCGTCATCATATTTATGAATTGGTTCTAAAATCTGTCTTCGAAACCAAGATAAAACAAATAACTAGTAGCCCAGATATTCCAATCTTCAAAAAATTCAGAGACAATTGGAATAACATCGATTCCAGCAACATTAAATTACCCCTTGATTACGTAAAAGAACATGTTGCCGAAACAAACATTACATCTTTGTTAATGTTTTATAAGTCCGAACTAGACAAAGATTTTATAAGAGACGATTATCGCGAATAAGTTGAACTATGCGTAGTATTTTTGGGAGGAGATATGGAGAAGAAATTAAAACTCAGGCCCCCCGGAGCTATGCATCAGGCGCGATGGATGGCGAGAGCGATCTATTCTTTAAAAATATGTTTACTTCAGTCACAATTAAAAATGACTGCGCAGGACAAAAAAGCCCAACAAGATGTTTGCCTATTTATCGTCACATTGTATGTTAAACCTTGGCTCAAATGCACAGTGGCAACTAAAGCACCTAACCAAGATTTGTGCTTCTTGAAGATGTTAAAAGAGTACGAAAAAGTTGACGCAACAATTTCTAAAGCTATAAGCAAGTTTAGCCATCACTTGTGGTATTTGTCTGAAGAGGCAGTCATTCTATCACTTTTTGATGATGATGTTTGTAACCAAACCAAGATAAAAATGATTGCCAACTTAAACAGAAATAAAAGCTCAGATTTTGGCAAACGCTATGAAACATCAAAGGAAGAACTAACCCAAAAGTTGTTCGGTAAGCTATTTTTTTTTCTTTTTTTGCATTTCCTGTCTTTTTTTTTTTTGTTATTTAACTTGTTTTTTTGATCAGATAAAACGCTAGATGATTTTGTGTCGGAAAAGAGCAAACAATTTTTTTCTCGACTGCAGATCAACGACAGTTTTCTAGGGGAAGATGTATCTTCTTGGAATAATAATGTTGCTTTTCTGGAAACTAAAAAAAGAATAAGTCGTTTGAAGGTTGTAAATGACACTGCTGAAAGAGCTGTTAAATTAATGCAAGATTTTAACGGACTTATTACGGCCGAAGAAGAGCAAAAACAGTTCTTGCTGCGCTGTGTTCAGGAACATAGAAATTTGTATCCGGACTGTAAAAAAAGTACACTGAAGACAAGTTACCCCGGCTAAGTGTTATTATTTTATGTTTTTAAATAAAGATTTATGTTGTTCTTATTTCATTTTAATTCTTTTCCACTGAATTTGTTGCATTTATATTAGTTTTATAACAGACCGAAATATTAGGACAAAACACAATTTTTAATTAACTTTGTAGCTCAGTCGGCACGGGTTGCTATCATGCTAGAATGATGAAATTTCATATTTGAGTATATTTTTGCATTTATTAAAAATATAGGGGGTATGCATTTCGATTTAATAAAAATAAAAAATAAATGCCATATAAGGGACACCCTAGTGTGCATTACCTGCACGAACTGTTGCGTGACGTGTGCATTACCTGCACGAACTGTTGCCTGACGTGTGCATTACCTGCACGAACTGTTGCCTGACGTGTGCATTACCTGCACGAACTGTTGCTTGACGTGTGCATTACCTGCACGAACTGTTGCGTGACGTGTGCATTACCTGCACGAACTGTTGCGTGACGTGTGCATTACCTGCACGAACTGTTGCCTGACGTGTGCATTACCTGCACGAACTGTTGCCTGACGTGTGCATTACCTGCACGAACTGTTGCCTGACGTGTGCATTACCTGCACGAACTGTTGCCTGACGTGTGCATTACCTGCACGAACTGTTGCGTGACGTGTGCATTACCTGCACGAACTGTTGCGTGACGTGTGCATTACCTGCACGAACTGTTGCGTGACGTGTGCATTACCTGCACGAACTGTTGCGTGACGTGTGCATTACCTGCACGAACTGTTGCGTGACGTGTGCATTACCTGCACGAACTGTTGCGTGACGTGTGCATTACCTGCACGAACTGTTGCCTGACGTGTGCATTACCTGCACGAACTGTTGCCTGACGTGTGCATTACCTGCACGAACTGTTGCGTGACGTGTGCATTACCTGCACGAACTGTTGCGTGACGTGTGCATTACCTGCACGAACTGTTGCGTGACGTGTGCATTACCTGCACGAACTGTTGCCTGACGTGTGCATTACCTGCACGAACTGTTGCGTGACGTGTGCATTACCTGCACGAACTGTTGCGTGACGTGTGCATTACCTGCACGAACTGTTGCGTGACGTGTGCATTACCTGCACGAACTGTTGCCTGACGTGTGCATTACCTGCACGAACTGTTGCGTGACGTGTGCATTACCTGTACGAACTGTTGCGTGACGTGTGGCGCGACATCCTGTGCGAGGACGCGCACGGCGGCTGCGGAGGTTCCGAATCGTCCCTGGCGCGGATACAGCGCCGGCACCTCCACTTTCATAAGGCTCTTGCGGAGACGCACGAAACCTAGCAAGTCGTACTGCCACACCCAATAACCTGTTCAAACATTCAAGTCAAACGAGTATATGTAGTATTTTTCCGCTTGTATGTACATTGAACGGCAACAAAGCTCGCAAAAAAAAATCATCACTCTTCGCGTGATTTATAGTAATCAATTTGTAAAAAAAACAATCGGTCACGTGACATTTCAAGCAGTGACGACACATTTTAACAAACATGAGTGCTGGTTACACTCGTAAGAAAGTTGTAGTCGTTAAATTCATTGAGATGCGCTCCGTCATAGCCGCTCCGCTTTTCGATTCTTGTAATCCACAGATAATAAATCAAAGTTAATTTAGGGAGGGTAGCTCGGTGGCGTAGTGGATAAGCGCCGCGGCCCGCGATCGTTGACGTTAAGCAACTTTCGCAAGGGTCGGTCCCGGAATGGGTGACAGAATAATTGTTGTCTCGAGCTACTCCGTGCTTCGGAAGGCACGTTAAGCCGTTGGTTCCGGCTGCATTTGCAGTCGTTAATACCCTCCAATCCGCATTGGGCCAGCGTGGAGGGTTATGGACCATCCTCCTTAACCATCCATAAGGAAGGCCTGAGCCCCTGCAGTGGGGACGTAAAAGGGCTGATGATGATGATGATGATGATGATGATGAATTTAGGGAAAATAAAATATACTTACAATTTATTTTAAAACAAAAAGACAACATAGTCATTGATTACATATAAGTGACCATTTCCAACAATTATTTCACATTTTATTGCTATAACTGCCAAGTAGCCAATTAGCCCGCTTGGTTGGGTATCTCTTATATCATTCTGTATAATCTATCTATATCATTGGTCACTCCGTGGTGGTAAAGTCGAAGATTATGGGGCTTAACTATTACAGTCTTTAGATTGTTAAAATATTGCTCAATTGTAAAAAAAATCTCATCCGTAAACTATCTTTTTCTGTGACCTCCTTTTGCGTACCGCTTATTTAGTTGTTTCGATTTTACCACCATATTATATTTTAAATTATCGGAGAAGTAACCAGAGCGTCTTCTTTTAAAATACGCGACATGTTCTAGGTGATATCGTCATAACCCGAGATATAATATTTTGCTTTCAGCCATGTTTTTTTCGAATTCTTACTGTTACTGTTTTGATCGCCTTTTTCGTATGAGCACTACTTGGATAGCTAGATCTTTTTCTGTCACAAACAAAGGCGGTTTCGTTGTACCATAAAGGAAAATGTGTAGTACGTGGCAAATTAGCCGCAATGAACACACATACAACCATGTGATACTGCAAGTATTTTGTTTTGACCTTTTAAAGTACAGAACACTAAAACCTAACAAGATACAGTAAATACTTGTTTTATTAATTTATTTATTTATTTTATTTATTTATTTATTCAACAAAGTTTCAACAGCAGTTTAGTTATTTCTATACAAAAATAAGTATGCAACATTGACGCCAATTATAGAAACTTATTATGTTTACAAATCTTAATAATTATATAATCATAATCTTAATAATCTTAAAAATCTTAATAATTATATAACTGCCTTCAGTTGACAAAGAAAATATATGTATTAGACAAAAATATACATATTTATAAATTATATCGCACGACAAATATGGTGTATGTATGTATGTGTGTGTGCATGTGTGTGTATGGATGAGTTTATGTGTTTAAATAAAGTATGCGTAACTAGAACTTCAATTCATAATTACATAATTACGTAATTAACTCTAAAGACGGGGCCGAGTTGAACACACGGCGACCGCGCGTCGAGTGGGTAAGGCAGGCAAAGATACCTACGGTACAGAGGCACATTCTACTGTCTGGCTTACATGGCGCAAATAACAACAACTCAAACAGACAAAATAATTATTAATTAAATCAACTCGATTAGGTATAAACAATAATAATCATAATAATAATAATAACAATCATAACAACAATAAACAATAATAGTAATAGAATTAATTATCATCTCAATCGATGACGATCCACACTGATAGACTTGACCAAAGCAGCTCTAAATGCATTTCTGGACATAGAGAAAAGGTCAATTCCGGAAAAGCATTTATTGTAAGTTCTAGGTAATCTGACTGTCACGTCATTAGCCTCATAGTTTGTTCTTACAAGGGGTATATGACATAGTTCCGTGTGTCGCGACCGTTTCGTTGATGCATTCAAAGACACCATTCTGTTAATTAACCCGATGCAATCTAATTGTCCCGAATAGATATCGTAAAGAGTAAGCATATCTCTTATACGACGCCTGTCCCTAAGACTAACGAGACTGTGTTTACTACAGGACTCCTCGTAACTACTCGAGATATAGTTGAGTCTGAAATTCAAGTATTTAACGAACTTCATTTGTAGTCTTTCAAGAGCGTGCACTCGTGCGTCACGCACGAATGACATATTTTGGATTCCAGACAACACTACAATATTCAAGGATAGACTGTACATACGCATAATACAATACTTTCATACAAGTGGCGTCTTTAAACTCCTTAGTTACTCTAAAAATAAATCCGAGATTTTTGTATGCCCTGTTAATTATGTTTTCAAAGTGATTGGCAAATGTTAATTTTGAATCCAAAATCACTCCTAGATCCCTTACCGTAATAACCCTTTTCAGCGGTTCATTATTTAATTTATAATCATATTCTATAGGTTGTTTACGTCTTGTGAATTTAATATGCATGCATTTTCCAGTGTTAACTGTGATCTTGTTATTAATGTAATATTGTGTAAGGCGATCAAGGTCCTCTTGTAGTTTTAAACAGTCCTCATGTGTACTTGTTTTCATATAAATTTTAGTGTCATCTGCATAGAGTAAAATCTTAGCATGCCTGAGACAGGCGGTTATATCACTAATATATGCTATGTAGAGCAAAGGACCGAGCAATGAGCCTTGTGGCACACCGGAGGGTATACGTATGTAATCCGAGCGAACTCCTCCAATCACCACAGCCTGTTTGCGGTTCGATATATAAGACTTTATCCACCGATACAGATCACCGCGTATTCCTAGGTAATAAAGCTTTTGCAAAAGTATGACATGATCCACGCGGTCGAAAGCTTTTTCGAAGTCCGTGTACACCACGTCAACCTGCGACTGGCAACCCATACCGCGGCGTAAGTCGCTAACGAATAAACTTAAGTTTGAAGCTGTTGATCTTCCTTTTATGAAGCCGTGCTGTTCACAGGGTATACCTTGCTTTAGAATGGGGTATATTCGGTTGTATACGATTCTTTCTAGGCATTTTCCGAATACGTTTAAAATAGAAATAGGGCGATAATTCTCAATTCTACATTTGGAGTCTTTCTTGTGTATTGGAACTATATGTGCTTCTTTCCATTTTAACGGATAAACTCCCTCGACAATACAACGATTAAAAATTATATATAATGGAAAAGAGAGTGCCGCGGCACACTTAATTATAAAGGATGGTGGAATTTCATCGCTACCGGCGCCCTTTTTTGCGTCTAAGGCAGAGAATTGCCTTTGAACCTCAGCTTGGGATACTGAGAAGGAATGAATCAACTCATTCGACCTGTGCGAAAGATTATCCCCATCGGAGTAACCTCCCGCTGATGAGTGAACAAACATACGCTCAAAGTAACTATTGAATGCCGAACAAATGGTTTTAGTATCAGAAAGTTGCATATTGTCATAGTTCATTGTACTAGGATAACCCGTTTTGTGCTTACGCTTGGAATTTACGTACGACCAGAGTAGTTTAGGGTTGGATTTCATGTTTTCTTGACAAAGCGTTAAATAATTTTGATAACAAGTATTTTGAATAACTTTAACTCTCTTTCTTAACAGGGAAAATTCATCGTAATCAAGTGGATTATTGAATCGTTTCCAGCGACGATGCGCGTTTTGTTTTTCCCTCAATAAGTGAGTCAGTGCACGGCTGTACCATGCCGGATATTTATTAGAAAGGCTGGTATCGACACAAGGAACGTGCATATTGATGACTTGATGTAGCACTGAGTATAGGGCATTGACGGAATCGTCAACAGTGCCTGATGACAATATATCCTCCCATTCAATATTATGTAACTCCATATTAATAGTGTCGTGAGTCGGCTTTTTTATATAATTTTCTTTTCCTGTTGCACCTAGGTAAGTTGCTCACCAAGATGTCGCTTGCATCGATATTTAGAGTGGTGTGTTGTGAGTCTTCTTTTACCAGAGCAGAGGTTGATATGCGAATATTCACACTAAAATTACTAAAGAAAAGGTCAATTGTGTTACCCGCGCTGTTAGTGAAAAAATTACTCTGATGAAGGCCCAGAAAATTTGTTTTGTTTACTAAGGATATTCCTGCGTTTTGTAACTCGACGCAGCCTTTTCGCAGATACATCGGACCAGACTCTTTCCACACTATATTAGGTAAGTTAAAATCTCCCGCCAATATAAACAGATCATGATCATTATTAAAAGTATTAGCAACATTGGTAATTAATTGTACAAAATTATTAATATGAGACGGTAAGGCACGTCCTGGCGCCATGTAAGCCAACGCTATATGCAAATCTTGTTCTAAGCCTATTGTGCGGCCGTCTACGGTAACCCACACACACTCGACTTGATCGCAATGCCACTCGACGCGCGCGCGCGCGCTTAGTCGTCGGTTGCACATGATCATGACACCGCCTCCGTTCGATCCCCTATCACGGCGGAATATCTCATACCGACTATCACCTAATTCGGAATCTAAAACGCTGTCATTTAGCCACGTCTCTGTTATTAAAATTATGTCATGGTCCGAGAGAAGCAGGTTATTATAAAATTCTAGTGTTTTAGTTCGGAGACCGCGAACATTTTGATAGAATATGTTTAATGTGTGACCGAAAATTCTAAATCAGTATCTAAATATATAAACAAAAATGATAGTTTAAAGTATAGATAACATTTATTATTGTTATTGAATGGCTTATGAACGATGGTACCGAAAAGTGAATAGTAGATTTTGATAGGTGTTAAAGAATTGAGTAATAGTTTTTTATGTATATACTTTCTGTTAGTGGATAGTGTTATCGGTTGTATATATGTATTCTTAGTGTTAAGTAAGTATGAAGTGTTGTCGTGCGATGAAATTGCGATAAGGTAATGAGCGAATTCAATTGAAATATAAAAACAAACAATAGATAGTACTAACAATGGCTGGTATATACGCACTATATAATCTTCTTCAGGTCGTCTTCGCAAGATATTAGCAAATACGGTGAATTCTCGGCTTTCCTTGTATATATACGGCAGTTTTTTTGTCCAAACGAATTTGTAGTTGTTAGTTTTAGCTTTTTTTTTACAGCTTGACAACAGTTGCTTATTATGTATTGTTAAGTGTTCGTTAATATAAATATTTTTAAGTTAAATTAATGACATACACATTAATATACTATTTTGAGGGAAAAAGATCGACTACTACTTGCAGCACTAATTGTCGATTTCACTACGGGCATCTCTATCTGTCATTTATGTAGCTGTTACTTTAACTTTGACATTTGATCAGTTTCGCGCCATTATATCTGCTTCCGGATTGTCATCATTACTTATCGGAACCGACATTGTAATTTTAAATATATCAATTAAATAGGGAAATGCTTACCGTGTATGACAAGCCGTCGCAACTGCGTGCACTGCCAACACAGCAGGATGAACGGGTTCACGTTACATATGCCATACTAAAAAACCAAACAAATTTTATTTATTTATATATACATGCTAGATTTGTAATCAGTAAGGTTGTGTTCGTCACATTAAATAATACTGAATAATATATAGCAATTATTATGTTTTTCAAGGACAATAAATAAATAAAAATCTCGGTCAAGCGGGAGTCGAACTACGTACAAAGGGTTCCGTAGCATTATCCATAAACAAACGCAAAAAAAATTACATCGCATGGGCGCCCCTGAAATATATTATTTATTGTTTTTTTTAGTATGTGTTGTTATAGCGGCAACAGAACAACATCATCTGCGAAAATTTAAACTATCTATCACGGTTCATAAGATCTATCTAGTGATTAGACTATCGCCTGTAGCCTAATCACGTAACTATGAAAAATCCAAATACGCCTAAGTTTATAAACCGTTCGATCGAAATCCTATCGAAATGTATTATTCTTCGAGGTACGCTCTACAATAGAACTTCAACTCGATAGGACCAAAACTCAACAACTCATCATTCGAAAACCAATAAAGTTGCCAGTAAGATTAATTTGTATGCTACCATGCTGTTTAAACATTTTTTTTTTACAGAAAATTATATTATATTTGGATATTAATAAGAATACTAACTATAACAAACTTAAAATATGAAAAATTCATATAGAAATAGAAAATCAGACGTATCATTTGGCAGAATTAATATTAATTTGTATGCTATCATGTTTTGTAAAGCTATGTTTTACAGACTTTTATACTGTCCTAACTGTAATTAAAAATTTCTTAGTAAAAGACTCCCATTTTACCCTTTAACCCTAAAAGGATAAATTGTATTATATTACCGATAAAAAAACCGAAAAAAAATGACTTATGTCGTAAACAGCGACACGATTTTTTAAAATATTAAATATATATTAAAAATTCGATATATAAAGACGAAAAATTATACTGATATTATAAAGACGAAAAGTTTAAAACATTGTCTGTTTGTTATCTTCCGAAATACTGACCCGGTCATGAAAATTATTTTACCTGCGAGAACCTATATACGCGGGTGCTATAAACAGTCAGCTAGTTTGTAATAATATTGAAGTACACAAGTTATCTTCGTGTACTAATATAAATAATGCATTCTGCATTTGTAATATGTTGTAAAGTGATTTTGCTATTTGGGATCCTATAAGGGTTCCATTTTTCCTTTTAAGGTACGGAACCCTAAATAAAATTAAGTCTTTCCTCTTTATAATATTAATAATAATAGAGTTTGCTTGCATGACATGTCCATGAGTGTTTGTATGGTGTCATACACACCTGTATATACCTGCCCGGCTTCACTATACGGTTGCATGGTTCACATGAATCATACGGGGCGTCCGCCCACACTAGCTCTTGTAATGTGTCCTTGTACAATCGCACTATATGTTCTAACAACGGCTGGTTCAACTGAAACAAGATCGATTAAATTAATATAATAAACTAGCTTTCGCCAGCGGCTTCGCCCGCGTGGACCCTAGGGACATATTTAGTGGGATAAAAAGTATCCTATTATCCAAGTCAGCTAATACCCTATCTGTATAGCAAATTTCATCAAAATCCGTTCATTATTTTCGGCGTCATTGACCGACAAACATCCAAACATCTAAACATCCAAACAAAGAAACTTTGACATTTATAATATTAATAGGATTATAACATTAACTTTTGAGACTTTTTTTTTATTTATTTCATATGGAGAACCAACAGCATACATATTTCAACATACTTCAGTAGATTACAGTTAGGTTTAAATCTTGTACATATACCAATTATAGGTTTACACAGCATATATATATATATTTTAAGTGCAATTCACTCCACCATCGATAAAAACACTAATAAGAAAGCTACTGCACTCTCCGGTTCTCAGTGAAAAGTCAGATCAAATAACTATAACACAGACCGCATGACTTCATAGTGCACGTAAAAAAAAGTATGTTGAATATATCAACATCACCAGTCTAATAATGTCCCCACTGTAAGCCATCGCTATGGATGGAATTGAATAGGGAGAATGGACCATCGCCATGTGCTAACGATTCAAATGCAAACCGGTACCAATGGCTTAACGTGCTTTCAGAAGCACGATATAATAAATTTTTAGTCACCCATTAAAGTTGCTTAATTTTCGCATCACAGACCAAACGACGTTAGCGAACCACAGCGTTATCGAACTCTTCTATTGATTAGGAACTCAATTAATGGTTGAGTATTTTTCATGAAAAGATTTATGAAAAAGAGACAACAGGGATGACGACTGGGTAAGACAAACATATCCTATTTAGAGAAAAATATAAGATAAAAATATTTTTTTAGTTGAGACAACAGGCATAAAAAATGAGGAGTGGGCTTGCTACGTCACAGTTTTGTAGCAAATGTACAAAAGCGTGACGTCATGTGACTTTTTAATTTTTTTAATTTTTTATTTATTTATTAACTCAATGTATCGACGTAATTAATAGATTAGGAAAAAAGTAAAAAATACATGGTTCATATTTTTCAAGAATCTACTTAACGGACAAACTTACAAAAAGAATTCGTCGTCATCCCCATTGAATCTGTAAAATAACTGTAATATTTATCAAATCGACGTCGCATATTTTTTTCCCACTATAATGTTAAATATAAGAATAAGTATTACATACTTAGATACTTACCGTTTTACAATACATAACTTTGAGGGACGTCAGCGTCATGCCCTCACGCAATACGTTATTTATAATATCTTCGAATTTTTTCATCGATATGGCAATCTGTAAAAGCATACCTTAGATAGTAATTTATTTCAATAATAAAAATACAGTGCTATTATTATTTTATTTTTCTACCTATATTACAGAAATATAAATTTAATACAATTTTTTCTTAGTTAATACATAATCTTAATTTAAAGAAGGCGAACTTAAAGATTGACCAATAGACTTCAGTTGTGTAACAAAGAAACAGTGACTGTTTATATAGGGTCATTGGTAAAACACCAGGAAACTAGATAACGACATAAAAAAAAAATGTTCTTTTGATGAACTGACTTACTCTTCAACTTAATTTCAATCCAATTCAATAAAGATCTCAATTTTCGACAGATCTTAGCTTGTACTTTTGAAACATACTCAACTATACTTGCGCAATGACACTTAGTTTATTCGATCATCATCATCAGCTCTTTTACGTCCCCACTGCAGGGGCTCAGGCCTTCCTTATGGATGGTTAAGGAGGATGGGCCATGACCCTCCACGCTGGCCCAATGCGGATTGAAGGGTATTAACGACTGCAAATGCAGTCGGGACCAAGGGCTTAACGTGCCTTCCGAAGCACGGAGTAGCTCGAGACAATATTTTTTTTTTTGGTCACCCATCCCGTGACCAATCCTTGCGAAAGTTGCTTAACGACAACGATCGCGGGCCGCGGTGCTTATCTACTACGCCACCGAGCTACTCTAGTTAGCTAGCTAGTTAGTTTATTCAATAACCACGCAATATTGAGCTAATTGGCGCTAGTGTGCCAAATCAAGAGTAAAAAAATGTCACAATTGCAATATCCATCTATCGCGAGTTCAAGAATAAGCATGCAGATTTGACAGTTCGTTTCATTTTATTTTAATACAAAAATAATTTATTTTAATTTACCGCTCCAATTACAATATCTCTATGCACAGCACCAACGTGTAAGTGTAGTGTGTGGGTTTAGCGTAGTTCTTTACTTTATAAATAATACATAGATGTAAATATCAAGAAAGCACAGCAGAAACTTGAAAAATCTTTATTTAAAGTATTGATTGAGTAATATTAAAATTCGTAGTTTATTACGTTAGATCTGTATACGCTTCTTTGCAATATTTCCAAATGAAAATCATGAGATCATAAGCATCACTGACGAAGAAACATAATAGAAACTACAGTATACTCACAATATTAACTGCTACCTCTAGCCCGTTAGGATAACAGGCGTCGAGTCGCTCCCAATCTATAGGGGTATAATTAACTACTCGCTTGTTTCTCACGTTCAATGTCAGACGCGAGAATGACGTGATTTCAGAGAGAGTTTCCAAAGCATCAGTGTTTATTTGCTCATAGTCCACTATTAAATGCTGGAAAAAAAACGAGATTTTGAAATAGAAAAATAACTTTAATTAGACTAATGAAGTAAATGTGAGCATTAAAGACGATAAAAAAAAATGTAACAAAATTTTATTGCAAAAGTTGTTCCTCAAAAGTCATTTTTTTCAAGTCAAGCCACATCAGTGGAAAAATAGGCTATATAGTTATTATAATTCAAGACATGTAAGAGCTTAAAATAATAATTTGTCTGTTTTGGGAGTAGTAGTAGAGGTATTTTAAAACTAACATATCATGATAATTATTAAACCACAAAACAAATTTTTATTGGCATTGCATTTAGAGAAGTGACGGCACAATTCAATAAGCATGCACTCGCAACAAAGACGTTTGCTTTATAGAAATGTGACGTCACACGATACTACGTCATGGCCAACCGCGTTTCAGTTCTTTTAATTTACGAATTATAAATCGAAAGTCACTTTGCAAAAATTTAGTACACTTACAATTTATCAAATCAAATTATTTATTGGCCATATAACTCAGAAGGTTACACTCGGCAAGTCTTTTACAATAAGCATATTAAATTAAAAATAAAGGTTTAAATCATGCAGGTCAAATAATTGTAAGTAGGAATGTCAAATAAATTAAGTATCTTAACAATGTCAAAATGGTTATTTTTCCATTCCTTAATAATCAATTATATCACAGTCAATTAAATTAAATAACAACATTACAAATTAATTTATAATATATATATATTATAAATTAATTTGTAATTGTACTTGTAATTTGTATTTAATATATATATACCTATTATCACAAATTAGATTATACAAACATAGGTTATATATAATTTTGTCATAAAATATTGATGATTATTTATTCAATAACAAAAAACGCAACATATTTATTGTTTACATATAAGTTACAATTTCCAACATATTCCATAATTCATTGTTATAACTGTCAAGTAGCCAATTATTATTAGACAAAAAGTGTTTCATTTATACTCAAATATACTCACTTGCAAAGTGGAAAACACCAAAATGTTAGATCGCGTCAGTACAGCGTCCGCTGCGACCGCAACGTCAGAGAAGGACAGAGGACGAGAATAGTACTCTACATGCTTGTGCTGCAACAAACAATAACAGTAAGAATACAATATTAGACACTAGTTTGCATGCTACAGAACTCTATAACAATAATATAGTAATGACAAAGTTTGACAGTTATTTACCATTAACTTAAGACATTTCAAGAATATAATGTGCTTGTGGACTACAGACACTGGCCAATCGTAATTTGTAAACAGTTTTTATATAACACGTTTTTGTCTCTTTCAATTTGTCTATTACACCATTTTTCCTTTTAGATGTGTGTTAAATTGTAAACAAATCATTAAATAAATTATATCAATACCAAGTGCGTGTCTTAAATAGTGCTATTTCAATTAAAACAGCACATATGTGTAACAAATTAAAACATCTATCATAACATATGCACTTAGTTGTACCTTACAACTATCACAAAGAGGAAGAATTTGCTAGTATAATAATATATCTGAAAACTGACCTATTTACCATTTGCAAAGATTAAACAAAAGTTAATAAAATGTACTCACAATGAATCTATCATTTTCATTCTTCGCAACTCCCATTTCACAGCCCAACAATGCTAGTTTATGGAGACTGTGTGAATGTTTGTGGATCAAACTCTCTATTATTATCCTAAAAAAAGTAATAATTTCATTAAAAAATGTATATATTATTGTTGGAATCTATAATGAAAAAAGATAATATATATTTGTCCTTTTTTAATATTGGTTTATATGAAACAATGTTGTTTCTTTATAATTGTTTCACTCGCTCACCTTTTTAGCTTAACAACTGGAAGGTGTGGGTTTTGTTGTATATAGCTTGGTCCTATGAATATCAATTCGTATAGTTTTAGTGTGTCAAAGAATCTAAAAAAAATTAATACATAAGTTTTTGTTGTATCTCTAGAGATACAGTTGTTACAGTGTAAACAGTAAAGAAGCAAAATATATACGAAAAATATATATCTATATGATACGGTTTGCTAAATTAATTTTTATTTCTTTTATAAATTTGAAATACAATTCAATGAAACAATAATCTCGATTGCAATGTAAATTTGAGGTATCTTATGTAACAAATAACATTCGATTTCAGTTGCACCATACAACTAGACTACAGACAGCATTATTGATTAAACATACTGTTATAGAACAGAATGTTGTAATATGGAGTACATATTTCTAACCGCTAGTAAAAACAATATATTAGGTACCTAATCATTTTACATAAGTACTAAACATGGCATAAGTTCTCAAAAAACTGCAATATGTTTAATAATATAGAATAGAAAGTAATTTGTAGTATTAATTTTTTTAGCTGGCAAAAAACATTGTAATAATCATTTCACATACTATATTTTAATTAGTTTAATTTAAATCTATCATGCACACAATTAAACTGATTAAATACTCATTCTTCTCACCTGAGAGCCTTAAGATGGAGATCAATTAAAACAAAGCAGAGTAGAAGAGATAAGAAAAAAACATAGCGGAATAGCAACTTATTAAAAAAAATTACATCAATTGATTTACTTACTGTGGCAACACATAACTCATGAACTTGTCAAGCTGCTCATCATTGCAATCTAAATAGATATGTAGTTTGTTTGTGTGTTTTCTAAATAAACGTGTCAGGTACAGACATTTATCAAGTTGTTTTGCTTTAAGTTTCAGAGTTTCTCTGAAATAGGTGATAAAGAAATACTTAATAAATTATAATTCAACAGTCTTAAATGAAATCATATTTGTAGTATTATTTCAGCACATAAGAGATACTCTTCTAATATCTATCTAAATTTAAGTTTGAAATTTTCATTCAAATACACATAAACCAGTGTTATATTAAATTAAAGCTGATAGGATAGAATAAAGCTGGAGTTCTCCAAACTTTTATGGCAATATAACCTAGTTTTATGTACACTGTTTATTAATAATTTACTACAATAATTTGCTGAAATATGACCAATATTTTTATGATCCCCCATACATACTTTGCAGAACTTTAGGGTTCCACAGATCACATTTTGAGAGACAAGTGAAATTTTATTTATTATATTATTTATCAAATGTAGACAGAAAACACAAATTATTAATAAACAAAAATAAACACAATATTGTTGTAGTTATCTAAAAGATGTGTATACAAATCTGTCAAATTTCTTCACTTTTTTAAATGCATTGAGGGTAGGAATGAAAGTCAATTGGAAAAATTTAACATAGGCATTGAGGTAACCTAATTTGATGGTATGTATAATGACAAAGTAGTAATGCAATACCTCATCTGTGCTGATATCATTAGACTTCAAAGTTATCCATTATTATAATAGGTACTTACTTGCGACCTTCGTATAGCAACATAGTGCTATGCCAATGATGACAGACTGACATAGCTGCCAGAGCATCCTCCAAACTCAGGTGGTCCATTACACATCTCAGTGGAAGAAGTGGCAAACTAGCCCATTGTGATGACATCTAAAAAATATTACGATGAAATTGTTAATAGGGTCTGTGGCATTATAACAGTGTGGTTTCCATCATCAGCAGCTTTTGTCCTTTGTTCTTTCAGCCAAACTTTTATGTCAATGATGTAATGGTAATTTTTTTTTCATGTATGACTTCTTAAGTGTATCCTGATTACAAATTTTATAAGATATTTTTAGTAAAAAATAATATTATAATATATGTATATAAGTACTGAATGTCAATACAATTTGTTGTGTGATTTGTAAAAAAAAATTTAAGGTGGGATACCTTAAATTTTTTTTTTGTGTTGGGGTAAGTATAAGTTATGCAATTTAATTAAAAACACAATTAAACATATATTTACAATTCTTACACATATATTTACATAAACTCTATGATTGATACAGTATTTACTAAAAAAAAGTCATTGAAGCTTACACCCTACTATAATATATAATAAATATTAAAGCTAAAATGGGTGTCATGTAGTGTTGATATTGTGATGCAATCAATGAAAATGCGTCTAGTCTAGTGTTATGAGTTTGTGCTCTAAAAATTGTACAGTGTATGTAATTTTGTTAACTGAATGAAAAATGTATATATTTACATGACTTATTATGTGTCATTTACTTTCTTTGTGATTTGTATACATATATAAATATGCATAAGCATATTTTGCTAAGGATAAAGTAATATCTTATTCTGGCAACATTATAAGGTTGAAAAATTGATCCTATTTACACACTGACAATAAAAAATATTTCATTCTTGCTTATTGGAGTATTCTTGTATATTTCTGTCTGCTGTTTTACATAATATTACAAAAATGGTAATTAAAAATCATTAAATTATTTTGAAACATTAAATAGCTCTATATTCCTTATCTGGATTGTGTACCTCATACTATAAAGTACATCAGTAATACTCTAAAGATCAATCAATATGTACATCTAAGCCAATAAGATAGAAATACAGCCATCACCATTTAATGATAATAAATCAATATAACTCCTACTTCAAGTTAAACTTTGCTTACAATTCAAAATCAGTGCAGATGAAAGCAATAAATGTGACTTCCTTGTGAAAAATATGCCATTCAAGGTCGAAAACCATTTATTGTACTGAAGATAAGACAGTAACATCTACCACGTAGAAAAACAAAACTCAGCTGTTTAACGAAAGGTGTGTCGACACAACAACTGTTTGCGGGAAAGTGGGTTAAACATTTTTTAATCAATGATTATTAGATCAAATTTGGTACAAAGTTATTTTTAAAACTTATTAATGAAATACTGCTTATGAATCGAGGTGAAATATAAATCAGAGCTGTCAATAAAATTACGACCAGAGTACAAAGAAAGGTCACAAAATATTCACATACTTACCTCGATCTATATAAACTTGTACGTGATGTTAGAATACTGTTTCCTTAAATTAATTTGATATTATTAACACTTTTTTCTTTATCTCTAATGAAACAGCGAGTTAGAAAATATTTAACACTGCCATGGTCACTCGTCGCAGTTTTTAACGCGCAAATTATTCAAAACTAGGGGTGTCCGGTATTTAAGGGCCTAAGTAGTTCATCATTTTGTATCGATATTCATTTGATTAATTAATTTTACACATCGATTGACATAAGAATCATCAAAACTGGTATTCGCCTTTGGTCTCTCACTATCCAAAAATAAAATAAAATAAATAAATATCCGTTTTACAAAGTTTCATTAAAATTGTGATTCGTTTAAAGCGTCATTATCGATCCAAATTTTCAAATTTGGAACATTTATTAAAGCTTAAAGTCGACATTAAATCTTAATGGACGATTGTGCAATAGAGCGTCAGTGCCTTAAAAGAATAAACAAATATACAAAACCTGATATACCGTCCTTTACTTTGCATAGTGGGATAAGAATACATAGAATTCAGTATTTTAAATTACTTAATATTTTTCGATTTCAGCCATGCTAGTGAAAAATTCCGTTTAGACTGAAAAACTGATAATCACATGACAAACGACTAATCAAGAAATATACACTTAAATTGATATCGATGCTTTGTTTGTACATCCCTAATGAAAATTTTCTTTTGACACTTTCTTTCATTTATTCATGGAAAAGGCAAAGGCACCTATTTAATCATAAGTCATTTTGCCAAAACAAAATTAGATTTTTCTTTCAACATAATGTTTCATGGTATAATATGGTATTCTTTATTTTTTCTACTGTATTACTGAACGTAACATATCTAAACTTCTTGCGTTTAACTGGTTTGTGAGTTTAACTCATAGATTTATTATTTAAGTTTAACAATAGGTGGATTAACTCGCGAGTAGCGCATATCGAAAAGGAACTTGCCCTCTCTTTGAAAGAACAATTTTTTTTGTGGCAACATATTTAATGGCGGCCAAAAATCAATTTTAAATTCTGACAGTCGAGGTTGCGTATAACATGAACATGAAAAATTGAATTATTTAAAGCTAGCTTATTTAAAAAATATTTAAGAAACAGTGTGTTGTAAACAGTTTCCATAATGCAATATATAATAACTTGCTTCTTGGAGCTTTAAGCGCGTTAAATTTATATACACAAAATTTATATTTGTTTAGAATCTATTGCGGTCGATGATGTAAGAAACTGAAGGTCTTTGGTTTTTGTGTATTGTTTTCTTGTGGATTGTTTGAAAGTGTCAACCATGGAGAGCGAGGAAAGCTTAGGAAATGCTGACAAAGACGATTATGAGAGCAGTGCGCACTCCACTCCTCAAGAACATAAGTCCTTTGCTGAAATAGCAAAGGATAAACTAGACAGCGGTAAGACAATGTAAACTTATTGCGGTAAGATCAGCATTACTTTAATTTTGTATTATTTTGATTCCATATCCAAACCTGCAAAAATAAAATATTCACTTATTCATGATAATAGCAAATGTATACTAGCATAACTTTGTCTAATATTTACAACTATGAAAGTGAAAAGCAGAAAACGCTGCATCTATTGAAAAATAATTAAACTAAAAAAAGCTTAAAATTAATTTCACCAAATTCCTCTTTTACATATACAATGAATATTAGTTATCATTCCATAAAAATTAGGTTTAATAATACACTAGTCCTGATTAAAAAAATAAAATTTAATAAAAGTATTAATCAAGTTTCGAGCATATTTTCATGTATGTAGGTATATAAAAAAATATATGACTAATGAGGGTTTCCTTTTCATTTATTTTCAAATAAATATAACCCAATAATAAAACATAGGATCTCAAGGATAATGATCTCAAATAGACCTAAAAACATCATAACAAACATTTATTTTATTTGAATGAATGGTTCCTCAGCGGGACGTGAGTTACGGAGAAGACTACCAATGGCAGGACAGCTTGGTGCTCATTTGATACACCCCAGGAGACTTCTCTTACATTCAACACCGACTCAGCACACTGATGTTGTCTTGATTTTTCCCAAAGGTGAGTTAATTACATTTTATTACTATCTTATAAGCAAGAATATGTAATTACTAGTTTACTAGGTTTAGCCGGCTCCTTGCATACATGTTGAAATGGATTATTTATTCTCTATTAAAACAATTAATGCACCAAATCTACTCTTGTCACTTAGTATCAAAATAAAATACAGATCACAAATCTGACAAAAAAAAATCTCAATAAAACACTTTGTTTAAAAATCCATAGGTGAGAATGTGTAGACATTTTAAACCCCAGATTCTCTCAATATAAAAAAGTTGTATTCAATAAATGCTAAATTTCCTTAGCTTTAGTGAATGACATGGCAGCGGAAAATTTTATAAATGTTTGTTTGTTTTTTTTTTTGCAATTTAATTGTTATGTTACACATAATGTAATTTTTTTTAAGATCTCAGAGGGCCATGTACAAAGTGGGTTTATTAAGGATATTTTTTAGTATAGCATTGTGAATGCAAAATTGATCAAATATAATATCAACACTTGTTCCAAATTTAATGTTGTATACACTTATTAAGGAGTGTTGTCTAACGATATAAAACTTAGGCATACTCTACTAGTCAACCGGAGAGTTTAAGAAGGTGCTACATAAGATTAAATAATGTCAAATTAAAAGAAAATCAGTACAAAAATCTATTATATAATCTTGAAGAAGAATTTTATATAAGTATAATAAATCACATAGCAAACAAAGCTACCATAAATATGTACAATATGCATGTACAATATAATACATACATAAATATGAATAGATTTTCGTGTAATAATTGTTTACTCATTTTATAATAATACAGTTTATTATTTCATGTTACAATGGTGCGTTGTTATGGTATCATTGCTTTGTTTAGAAATAGTCTGCAGGCTGGTAGTGCTACGTACCTTTAACCGCGAAATAAAACTAAGTTATTTGTCTTTGACCATGCATAGACCAAGGTAACACTAATATTAAGATAAGGCATGTGAAACCAATCGACTTAGAACCCGACTCGCATTATAAACAAGTCTACGATCCTTATTAGTATATCTATGTATCTATTTACTTCAAAAGTAGGTTACTTAAGTTACTACGCCGAAAAATCTTAATAGAAATTTGGCGTCGGTTCTAGCTTTCAAACAATATCAGGTCAGAGTGTCTGCCTCATTCCAATTCAAAAATTCGCAAAGTCATAAACACGCCATTTGACTTGAGAAAATAGGACATTATTAGTACAATGAAACTCATTTCCTCACAATGATTCTTTGTTATATCCTTAATAAACTTAGTCAATGGTAAATTTTAGTATGTTCAACTTGATTCACTCAATCTATATTTCTTTATGTGAATCAATGCTTCGCTTATTTACTTACTTTATGGGAACTTTAACAGCTTGTGTCTTTCCTATTTGGGAAGTATCAAATTCTTGCGATACTAAAATAAGTTAAGACCTTAGACTGTTTTGCTGCTGAACAGCTTTTGCCTCTCATTACACAACAATTTAAGGAAATTCGTTAGGCAATCACCAATATGGCATTAATTGAGAGCAAAAAAATATACGATCATATTTTAAGTACATTTTCTTAATGATTTCAATACAGTGAACCCCCAGTAATCCGGCCCCTGTCTAATCCGGCGCCCCCTGTAATCCGACATGTCCGAATATTTTTTGGTAGATACGTAATGCATGATTGAACAGGTCATAATTTGTGCGCGCCACCATTATTGCGCTCGACGCGTAGGTTTGTTTGTTTATTACGTACATTTGTTTGTACACAATTATTTCCTAATGCAAATTATTATTTTTCACATTACTCACTCGCATCACTTTTACATTATATTAATACGTAAGCTCTATATTATGTTTTTTAATTTACCTACTAGATTCGATATACATAATGAAGTATGATTTGTACTTCAGAGTAATATAGATATATACATAACATATAGATCTTTATCACTGATCTGTAATTAAAAAAAAAACTATAGGGCGTATTTGGCAGTACTCTATAATCCGACAAATTCGATAGTCCGACACTGCCCTGCAAAACGTTTGTCGGATCACCGGGGGTCCACTGTAATATTTAATGTATCATTCAAGATCATAATATCTTTATTGTATATTTCTTAAATGATACATATTATATGTTAGTCATCTTGTAGTAAACCTGACGCGACTGATTTAACAATATGTTGAATATTCCTTGAGAAGTCAAATGTTAAAAAGATGTTTTAGTATATTTTTATGCTCTATTCCCACCTCTCTTTATCTCAAGGGCCTCGTGATTCTTATTTTCTCTTTTACTGCATGCGTTGCAAACTCTTTATATATTAATAATATCTGTAGAAACTGCATTGGCAATTGATCTATCTTATTGTATTAAACTATTGGTAAGAATATGAGCGACTTATTTCTTTAAAACAAAATTTAATTTTTTGTTTTGTTTAACGCCAAATATTTGTCTGCTGGAAACAGTGGTGTGTATGGGGGACAAAATAGTTATTTAAGATACGAGTGCGGAAAGTAAGGTATTACGAATAAGGGCCAAATTGAAAATACTTTAGCTGTCAAAGTCATCGCACGCATAGCATACGCGTCGTAAGATTTAGGGCCAGTTTCACCGGTTACTGATAAAGTTTCAGATAGTTATCTGATAGTTAACGCTATCTACTGGATAAAGGTTGCTGTTAACTTTTTTCTGTTTCACCATGAAACTGCTAGATAATTTATCTGGCAGATAAGTTATCAGCCACTTATTAGTTGACGGAACGGCAACGTCGCTTTTTTGCGTTTCAATACTACGACCCAAATTGTCGTCAATCAAAAATCATTTTTGAAATTAATATTATTTTTTGTGTTCAATATTATTTAAGTAAACTTTTTATACTTATACTTTGCATATTTTGAATTATAATTTTATGATTCTAGAATGAAATAATACGATATTCGTATACTTAGCTACGTGTTTACAGAAACGAAACGCAACTATCTTTGTTTTGCTTTGTTGATATTTTGTGCTTAAGACGCTTTTCAGTTTTTAAACTTTTCTTTGTGTATTATTTTCGTATTTGTTAATTAATAATGGAAAAACAAATATGTGAAAGAAGTGTGAATTTTAATCAAGAAGAAACAAACGGAGCTTCTTTACTTACTAGTTAACGGAGATTTTTTACTAAATAGCCCGTTGTAGTTTTTATATCACATTCTATTAACGATAGAATATAAATAACAGCCCGCTTGGTAAGCCGAAATCGATTTCTAAAATCTTGATCGTCAAGTGATTCTCAATAATTAGGTCTAGGGTTAATTACTCGATTCCTACGGGGTCGCGTAATACGTTCGAAATATTCATCTAATTCGTCTTCTAAAAACTCAAATAAATCCATTTTAGAATATTTGTGACACTTGTGACTTCAATCGACGCAAAGCACACAATAATGGTCTAAAACTAAAACTATTTTCGTTCCCGTCAATTGAAACTTTTTTTTTATCTATCAGATAACGTCTTTATCAGCCACTTGAATCGGCTGATAATATATCTAATACTTTATCTGCCAGATATTTTTATCCGAGACCTGTGAAACCAAAAGTTGTAGTTTATCTGGCAGATAAGTTCCTGATAGACTATCAGGGACTTTATCAGCAACCGGTGAAACCGGCCCTTAGTGACATTTTTAGTGTAAAACCGTGAATTTCCACACAAAACTATCAAAAAAGTGATCATGGAAGTCTCATAGTGCTGTTAGTGTTATCTGTAAAAACTTTTTAGAGATTACGACAAAAACCGGCGCTAAAAGAACTCAATACACACGTGAAAATTAAATCTACCCTCAACATTTGTTTTTTGTGAATAAATTTCATTAGGAAAATGACAGTTCTTGAACTCAGTGTTGCTAGAGCAAAAACTTAAATATCACTAAAAACCTATAAAAAAAAATGTCGGGAACTAATAATAATCAGTCCTCTGATAACTCCAACAATCTAATAGGCAAACCAAACACTCCGAACACAAGAAAGAAATTCGTCCAACAAGCGTTTCACCCCAGCCTATTCAATAGAGAACGGCAAAACTCTGTGAACATAGATCTGGAAAATGAAATGAACATAACACAGGATCAAGCTGGACCTCCAGCTTGGCAAAGGGTACCGAAACGCAAAAAAATCTCAGAATCCCCCTCACCCCCCCATAGCAGGAGTAAGACTGAAACATCGAACAGATACAGTGGTCTACCTACTGACTGCACAGAAGTAACAGAACCGAAAAAACAGAACAAACCTCCACCTATCATGCTCTATGGAATTGAGGATCTTAACAAGCTAACAGAACTTCTCATTTCGGCAACAGAAAGAGAAACCTTCATATACAAAAATGTAAATAGAAACCAACTACGAATAAGTTGCAGGGATATAGAAGTCTACAAGAAAATCATCAGTATTGTGCGTGAAAATAACCTTATTGGACACACTTTTAACAGAAAAGAGGAACGGTGTTTTAGAATCGTTATTCGAAATCTCCACCCAACAACACCCCACGATGCTATAAAGGAGGATATTGAAAGTACAGGGAACACCGTCTCAGGTGAAATAATAAATGCAAAATATGGACCCGACAAAAAAGCCACCTCAACATTCTTTGTCAATCTATTACCAGGGCCAAAAAATAAGGCAGTAAAGGAATTAAAATATATCTACCATCAAGCTGTAGTAATAGAAGATCCGAAAAAAAGGAAAAGCATTGTACAATGCCAACGGTGTCAGCAGTATGGTCACTCAAAATACTACTGTATGAGACCATATCGCTGCGTGAAATGTACTCAGCCTCATAAAACCTCCGATTGCCCAAAACAAGACAGGAATACACCAGCCCAGTGCGTTCTTTGTGATGGACCCCACCCTGCAAACTACAAGGGCTGCGAGGTGTACAAGGAAATCATTGCAAGGAAAAAAACCTTCAATAGACAACCGATGGTGGAGTGGCCGCAGCAGCAACATCTCATAAATCTAGAGCAA